ATAATTTGTAAATTATTAAGGGTTCATGAGGGAGAGGGAGGGGGAGGGAGGGGGGAATGAGGAGCTGATATCAAAGGCTCAAGTAGAAAGCAAATGTTTTGAGAATGATGATGGCAACAAATGTACAAATGTGGAAGCATTTGTGACACAATGGATGGATGTATGGATTGTGATAAGAGTTGTACGAGCCCCCAATAAAATGATCTTAAAAAAAAGAAAGAGAGTGCAATATGAAAAAAACAAAAAACCCACAGAAAATATTGAAAACCAGATCAAGCTCAAAGTGTATCAGAGGGGAGATCAGGTGACAAGGTTTTAAGCATGCAAGTTTGGTTTGTCATTTTAATTACTATAATTGCATCTCCAATACTCTCTGTCTGGTACCCAGTTTATTCCCATATCTTAATTGTGGTTAGAGGGAAATACCTGAAGGGTTATCCCCTCTGTAGTTCCCACAAATGTCTCTTGGGCTTCCACTGTCATCCATAGCCTTCTGCAAACCAGAATCTTACAATGTAAACTCTGACACTATTACCTCCTTTGGATTTGGATTATGTAATTTATAATCCTTGGGTCACAAATGTTGGTATGCTTCTTCCATGTGGATTTAGTTGCAGTCTCACTTAGATGGCTGCTTGTTTGGAAACAAGTCTTTAAGAACCCAGATGCTATTCTATCTGATAGCTGGTCACCATCTAATTTCTTCACCATACTTTGCTACAGCACTCATACCTTCTGTCTCCTTCATGAGTGCAAGTTTCAAGGGAGGCCATGTCGTAAGAATTAATGATTCCTAGATTGGAGCTAGGATTAAGTGTGAACCCCAAATCCATTCCTGAATCTATGTCTTTATCTGACTCTGGCTCCCCTTAGAGACCCCCTTGTTAACTTATGTTAGAGAATCTTATTGATCATCTCCCTGCAGCAGAAGGACCTTCTGTTAAAGGTGTCAGTGATTAGCCCATGGCACTAATGCTTGAAACACTTTTGAAAGAGGGAGATAGAACCAGTGTAGGCTAACTACATATGGCAATACTGGAATTATTCACTTTTACAGAATAAATCCTTACAGGACTGAACACTATTTACACAAACGATTGGAATTGTTGCCAGGCAAGACTTAAAATAATATTCACTGACAATATCAATCGCAGATCTGGCAGAATACTACATATCTTAATATAGCAAGTAGGGCATTGAAATAGTAAGTAAATGTTGGTCCACTTACTGACAGTTTAGCACTCTTGGTAGACTGTCTTCTGCTTCTTCACACACCATGTAATTTCAATCTTAACTCCTCAGGTGACAGGTGTGTTTGAGGGCAGAGTCTAGTTCACCTGGTGGGGTTTCCACCTCGGACCCGTCTGTATGGCCTTGTGAGCCTGTTGTGGGTCTTGAAAATCGAGGAGTCCAGGCCCCAGTATTCTATGGCACCTGGCCTGGGTCCCCATGGGGTGTACAGAAACTCCGGCCAATGCGGCTTATTAGGTGCATATTACCAGGCATACTCCCCAGTTAGGGTTCTTAAAAGTATTGCTAGTCATTTTCGCCCCTACTAAGAAGTTGGTCTCTCCCTTTTCTACCAAGTATTGAGTTGTAGTCCACACAAAAAGCTGCAATCTTTGATCTTCATGAGCAAATGCTTCAAGTCCTCCTCATTCTCAGCAAGCGAGGTTGTGGCTTCTGCATGTCACAAGTTGTTAATAAGCCTTCCTCCAGTGGAGATCCAAAGCCCATTAGTAGGCCACTGGAGATCCCCTTGCAGAGGGGTCTCGGGGAGGAGATGAGCCAGTCAGGGTGCAATGTA